CTGAGTTTTGATGATTTTTCCCAAAATTGGCCGCGAGGCGCAGCAAGTTGCGGGACTAGGTGACTTGCACCATATTTTGAATTTGGTGTAACTAATAAAATATTGGGGTTGTAGATCAATTTTAAATTTTATGCAAATTAATTTAAAAATTCTTTGTTACCAAATTACTCATTTTTTTATTAAGAGAACATGATTTGAAAATTTTTCCGGTTATAGTTTCAATGTTACAGATTGATGTTATGTAAAAAAGTCAATTTTGGTAAAAAAGACTTATGACCGGTTTTTTCTAGAAATTCCCCCATATTTATTTAGCACTTGACAATTTCAAAAATCACGTGACTGTAAAATTTTTATTGCATTTTTGATTGGAAATTTTTTCTCAAAATTGGTGGCATGGTACAGAAAGTTGTGGGACTAAGTGACTTGCACTTGGGGATGAGAAATTGCATGAAAATTTCAAACTTCATGTGCATGATGCGCACTGCATCTGCTGATCTTTTTTATTTTTTAAAAAAATTTATTATTATTAAAAAAAACAAACAGATTTTAATCACTAATATTAGTCACTGATTCAGATGTATATACATCACTATCATCATTTTCACTTCAACACCATCTTCCTGTTCCTCATTATCATTACCAGGATCATAGTGTTTCCATTGACATTATCTTTTGATTTTTTTGATTTTTGTAATTATAATTAAAATAAATAAACACTAATTTGAAAACCATACTAGATGTTAGTCTATTTCTTTTTTTATCATGTATATATGAGGATGCAGACCAATTTCTTTCAGGTGCTGCTGAAGATGTAGGATTGAAAGAATTTGTACAGCAAGATTAGTCAGTTCAGGGGCAACTAATGAAAAATTCCCTTTACACCATGTTACCAAATCTGCTTCATCTATAGTTGACTATGCTAAAGAATTGTCAAACAAGCTAGTATGTTGTTTATAATGTAGTAATTGTGGCCAAAATTTTCTTGAGTCATTTGGATAATAATAAAAAAAAAATTTAATTTTTTTCATGTTACATTTATTACTATACAAAAAAAATTACATGCGCATGATTTCAACAATTACATGCGCACAATGCAGTGCGCATGATGCGCATGACATGCTATACTTGAAAATCAAACTCCAGACTAAACATAGGATTTTAAACTACTGTATGTAGTATTAGGAAAATAAATAAATAAAAACCACAATTTAAAATAGGGATTTTAATTTGAGATAAGATGAAAGTATATTCTGTATATACTACAACATTTCTTAAATAATGAATGAATGCAAAACAGACAAAAGAAATTGAACATTGATTATTATTGATTTTTTCTTTGACATTAAAATTTAATAAGTGAAATTATAATGGCGCAAAACAAAAAAAAGGGAGGGCGAAATTAGCTTCTAATTCTAGTAACCCCTTAGAAATTTTTATAAATGTGCCCTAAAATGTTGCAGAAATCGGTGTATGTGGCCTAGAATGTCTTACAATATACTTACGTTGATCACTAAAGCTTGAAATATACCACATTACTGGGAACATAGAAAGCAAAATACACACGTTTAAAAAAATACATCTCAGGTTAAAAAGTTTTTGTGCGCAGCCACGCCATTCTAAACTCAATTACTCAATTGAAGTCACATGTTTTACAACATAAAAAGATCAACGATCGATTTTGTCACATGTGATAAAACGAATGTACACTATGCTACTCCTAATTAAATATGGATAGAAATAAAAAATACTGTTCAAATAAGCAAAGAAATTACAAATCATTCAAAGATAGATTGAATATCTTGGCACCTTTGGCAGCTAAGGAGTATGATCAATTGAATGTTTTAGAAGAAGATAATCATGCTTCTTTATGTAATACTGCGAGATCTCCAAAGGTTGATAAAATACATTGGACATTAAAAAATACCGAAACTTTTTATAAGGTAAATAAATGCTCTTGATGAGAATAATATAGTAATAATTTTATAATTAAAATATTATTAATATTTATCAATTCAATAGATGATTGCATTGTACGGTACAAATTATATTATAATAGCACATAAACTGGGTTATACCGTTACCCAGATATCTATCAAATATAAAAAAGAAATGAAGAAGGATCCTGAACGTATGTTTAATGCGATATTTAAAAAGGGTGAATTCAGCAACATTGGTAACAGGTGAATAGATTTTTAATTTGTCTTTTATATGTGAGAATTATTGTATAATAAATAAATATGAATGTTATTTACATAATAAATACCAAAACGTTTTATTCTATACATAATATATTCTATTTTTTTTTTTGTAATAATTATAATGATCTAAAGTATCTAGTAAATAAATAATTAATCGGGTCCATAAACTTCTTCAATATATTTTACCCACTTGATAATAACATTACGAATTTCTTCAAGGCCTGGTAATTCTTTATCATCTTTAATTAAGGCTGTTTCCGCTGTTTTTACTTTTGTTTCTGTTGTTTCTACTACAGATGTGATATCAATTTTAAATATTTCACGATGAATTTTCTCACAAAATAAACATTTTGATGACTCAGCTTTAAATTTCTCTGATAACTCTAGATGAATCAATCGTTCAGCACGATGTGTAAATTTACATGATTTCATAATTTTTTGTCTTTCTAAATCTTTGTGCCCGTCATTGCCATTGATTTCATCTGCATTTTCTGTTTTTTGTGATATTAACAAACCACCAGTACTTGGAAACCAATCTATAAGTTTAAGTTTGTACTTGCACTGATTTTTCCATTCATTCAATCGTCTAATTATATTCTTAGTTCGACCAACTTTATAATGTATACAATTTTGAGTAGAGTGTGATGATACTAATTGAAAGAACGATCCAATTAATCAATAAACTAACAAATTAATTGACAAAAATCTACATACAAGCGTGTCTATTAATGAATACCTTCGATAACTCGATATATATATATATAGCCAGCCTCATCACTAATAGATATCTTTTTTTCCATTTCCAGCCGTAAAGAATTCTTAGTATTATGTGATAAATCCTTATTAATATAACCTACCAATAAATTTTATTAAATCTTTCATTTATTAATTAATAATTCTTTACTTTAAAAAAAAAAAAAAAACCAATTCATTTTAAAAGCAAACACAACAAAAAAAAACCCCCACAAACATTATGACACAATACCATCAGTTCTAATCCAAATACCGTTTGTATCATTGGTTGGTATAAATAAATTTTCTAAATCTATTTTACTTTTTTCGGGTTTATGGTTATAACAATAGTATTGTGAAGCTTTGATTTTATTTTTGCATTTTTTACCATTTTGAGTGTAACCATTACATTGAAAATTTTTTGATGATTTTGAAGGAGAACAGCTGGATAATAAATCATCTTCAATCTGATCAAAATTAACGAATAGGGATGTAAGCCTAGTAGGTGTGACGTATGTATTAGGTGATTTAACAACATCAAAATTATCATCAACAAGTGTCGATCTTTTTGGTTTTTCGTGTGATGAAGGTGTCTTTTTGTATGAAGTAAGGGTTTTAGTCTCTAATATACCATTTTTTTTTGGTGTTAAATCATACGGTGAAATCGATTCAGCAAATTCTTTGTCAATAACATTACAATTCAAATTATTTTTTTCATCAATGTAGAGAGTATTAAATTTATCCACAATAGAATCAATGTGATTTTCTTCAAGCGTAACAACAGATTTTAATGACTTATAAAATGAGCTATTGTAATATTTGGTATTATTAAGAGATGATGTTTTAAACCAATCAACTTCATCGTAGTTGTCTTTCTTTTTTTCTAATTTTTTGTTATCATCACCCAAAACTATTGGACTTTCTGAAATATCATTTGGTGGACTTTCAATTGGCGCAAATATATAATCGTCGTCAATAGAATCCACTGAATCTCCTATTAAATCACATTTATCCAGGATTTTTTTATTAATGCGATCTTTATTACTTTCTTTATTCTTCTTGTTATTATCACTATTATCACTATTTTTATTTTTATTTTTATAATTGCCATTATTATCACTACTAGGATTATCTATTGACTGAATTGTTGACGTCTTTAAACC